GGCGGGCATCCCCGCGCCCCTCCAGCCGCGATGAACCCGCCGGGCCCCGCCGCCTCGCCCAGAGCAGGGCGCCCCCCCCCCCTCGCTCGCCACCCTCCCGCAAAGCAGGCCCCCGTGCCTGGGTGCGGCCCGGCTCCCAGCCTCCACCGCACAGCGAGCGGGAGGGCGGCCGGACCACCTCCGTTCTCCTGCGGGTCCTGGGGAAGTCCACCCTGCGGGGGCCTGCGCACCAGCGCACTGATGGTGCCCAGGTGCCCGGGCCCTGGGGTGGGGGTGCTGCTTCCCAGGCTGCAGAGCGCTGCCACGGGGAAGTTTCCAGGCCAAGAACTCCGCGAGGTGCTGGGCAGAATGGGCCCCTCCGCGCATTGGAAAGGAGAGAAAACCTCTCGCTTTGGAGGTGTTGACACCTCTTGCCCCCTTTGATCCGTGTGGGGATTGTCACCCCTTGGGCTTGGAGGATCGTCTCCTTAAGCAACGACCACTCTTTCTGGACTCCCAGCTCCCCCCTCTCCGAGACCTCAGTGTCTCCCCGACTAGTCTCCTTACCTCATTGAAATCTGCCCTTACACTTACAGTATTCGTTACTGTAACTTCATTAGGGCTTTGAGAAATGGACCTTGGCTTCCTTTCTCCCCTTTCATCCTCCCTCAGGTGGAGACAGCACAGCAGCCAAGACAATTAGCCTCGTACTATCCTTGACATCCTAGCACTGATGCAGAGCATCTGACTCCATTCCCTTAGCTCAGAATCATAGAAATGAGGAGGGAAGGGGCCTCAGGAGGTCCTATCTAGACCACCCCCCTGCTCCAAGCAGGACCAGCCCCACCTACATCATCCCAGCCAAGGCTTTGTCTAGCCAGGTCTTAAAAACCTCCAAGGATGGAGAGTCCACCACCTCTCTGGGTAACCTGTTCCAGTGTTTCACTATCCTCCTTGTGAGAAAGTTTTTCCTAATATCCAACCTCAACCTCCCTTGCCGCAGCTTGAGCCCATTGCTCCTTGTCCTGTCGTCTGCGCTCGCTGAGACCAGCCCAGCTCCATCCTCTTTGCAGCCCCCCTGCAGGGAGGTGAAGGCTGCTGTTCAATCCCCCGCCTCGGTCTTCTCGTCTGCAGACTGGACCAGCCCAGGTCCCTCAACCCTCCTATATGAGGTCTCCCAGCCCCCAAACCACTTTTGTTGCCCTCCACTGGACTCTCTCCAATTTGGCCACATCCTTTCTGTAGTGGGGGCCTGCAACTGGACACAGGATCCAGATGTGGTCTCCCCAGTGCAGAACAGAGGGGAGGAATCACTGCCCTCCATCTGCTGGCAATGCTCCTACCAATGCAGCCCAGGATGCGGTTTGCCTTCTTGGTGACAAGGGCACACTGCTGATTTTACCAAGAGCACCAGTCACCCCACCAGCTTCTGGCTGCCCGTGAGTAAGGAAACAAGCTACATCACATTGGCGCAGGGGTGTAACCCCCAAAATAGAAGGGGGTGGGGCAGCAGAAAGGCCCCTGGTCCTGGAAAAGTCTATTCCAGTCGGTCACCTTGTTGGTAGTTCTTGCTGGGATGGTGTGGCTCTTTCCTGCATGTCAAATGCTGGGTCCCTTTCAAGCATGGTGCCCCACACATGCACCACCCAGTCGAGGACGTTGCCAGCATGACCCCAGGCACCGCAGCAAGTGGCAGTCCCATAGCTGGGGGGAGGGAGGAAGAAAGAGCCTGACATGAGGCCGCACAGGGAGGTTGAGAAAGATCCAGCTTACCCTTGTCCCCAGCCAGCCCCTTAACCTCATCCCTCCTCCTTCCTGATTTTCTAGGCCTGCTACCAGCTGTGGAAATACTATTTATACACAATGGGCTTGAGATTGTCTTCTTGAGATTCACATGCGGCTGCTGTTATGGCAGAAGCAAATGCAGTCCAAAGGCGTTTGGAAAAGCTCAGCGACTGAACTGCTTTTTCCAATTCATCCTGGAAATCTTAAGCATTTAAACTAGTCAAAAGAACGTGCGTCCTCAGGTTGTGAAGGACAGAAGGGAGGAGGGAGATGGAAAAAGCCCAGGGAAACCAACACTTTTCACATGTCTTTAATGCAGCACGGAGAGCAGGAATTTCAAGGTCTCTGTGTCCAGCTGGGATTGGACCATTATCACAACCTCTCCCTTTTAACCTCCCTTCTCAGCTGCATTTAGAGTCAATGCTGTGCGGAGGGGGGGGGCGGCCAGGGCGAGTGGCAGGGCTCAATACGTGCCACAAGCTTCCCAAGCAATGAAGCACCATTCGTCAGCCGTTAGCAGGAACAGAAATGCTGTCATCCAACCTTTCCCCTCGCTCACCAACGCTGCATTGGGGCTCCTGGACCATGCTCCCGTGTCAGAGTCCGTGGATTGAATTAGCTGGTGCGCACTTTGCCCTGTACGATTTCCTTGTGTCTTTTTGCAGCCGGGCAAGTAGAAGGCACTCCACATGCATCCCAAGGGGGGCTTTCACCGTACTGAGCCATAACACAAACTGCAGATGGTGGCATATGCAGGTGTTTCACGCCCTTCTCTTTGCACACGGAAGGAAGGGGCTCTGCCTTCTTGCACATCTGCGTGTGCAAGCACTGCTGACAAGTGCTAGGTTATCAAGCTCAGAGGCCACAGCCCTGCACACCCCACCAAGCACAATTGTGTAAGCTTACTACCATCCCTGCCCTCCCTGTGAACCTCTGCCCCGCAGTGCAAGCTGCACTTTTGAACCAAGAAAGGGAGTGTGTGGTCTCCAGGGCTGAGACAGGGCCTTGACTGGGCCTGCAAACAGAGGACTCCTCACCGTGAGTGCAACGTGAAGTGGAATGAAACCAAATGCACTTTGTAAAAGCTGTTGAAAAAAATTCTGTGGAATAGAGTCTTTGCCCCAGCCTCCTCCAGGCCCTCAGCCTCACTCCCTCCTTAACGCTGGTGTATCTTCAGCATCTTCAAGTGTAACTTCTGTGTAGACGGTGAGCTCTTCAGGGCAAGCACTGGCTCCTGAACTGCAGGTCTGTGCAGTGACCCTGCCAGGGGATCCCAACCCTGCCTGTGGCCCATGGACATTATGGGCCAAATAATAAAATAATAATGGCTAACTAATAAATAGGAGGCATGTCGAGCCTACAGTAGCACACTTGGGAATGACTGTTGTAGTCATGAGAGGAACTTTTCCTGCCCTCCAAACTTCCATTTAACATTGCAAACTTACCCAGTGCTAGCAAAGTGCAGGTCTTGTCTTTTGGGCCATATGGCCACAGCTGGGGTCACCGGAGTCACCCTTGCTGTAACACAAGGTGGGCAGCTACCAGAGCATTTGCAAAGAGGGTTCCAGGACTCTGGAACCATCTCTTCTCTGGTCTGAAATACTCCTGCTATGGGCCTACTGCAAAAGCCACCTCTGCTGGGTGTGTCTGCGGAGGGGGCTGAGGGTGCGCTCTGCAGACAATGAAGGGACAGAGGTGAAGGTGTTCCTGCAGCCTGGCTGGCTGGGGTCCTGCTG